ACTTGAAAGTGATGAAATGGTTTTAATGATATGTTATTTTGAAGAATTGAGAGTAAAAAGCGTCAACGCTGTATACTTTGGTGTACGCTTAGCTGGGATGAATAATAATCAGAGGGACAAAAGAAGGTAAACCGATCGTTTTTTTTTGTAATTGAACATGTAAAGAACTGTTGTTAATTTTGATCATTTCTATTTAACCATCACTCATTCCTGCAAAAGTATGTGAAACGTCATCTGTGTCTGGGTCAATGTGTGTAAATAAATTCAGTGAAGAGTTCTCTAAGAAATGAATTTGCAACCACCTGGCCCCATGTTTGAAATGTTGTAAACAAATTTGTTGTTTTTCAAAGATGAGATGTCCGAGATACTCATTACCTCTTGTGTATTATGCGATTTCATTTTTATTTTTTTTATTTCATTTTAAAAGTTTTAAATCAAATTATATTTAACACCAAAAAAACATGTAGAATTATATACTAGGTTTCTATTGCTCCTCAGTTCAGATGGCTTCTGCATGTATCGCACCCACTATAAGTTGTAAGAAGCTTCCTTTAATGCCAGTGCTAAAAGTTAAAATAGAAATTTATCAACATTTACATGAATTTCGAATGGCATGGCCATGACTTATAATACATGAACTATGTTGTTTGCATTTGTAACTTTCGGTATTAATGACAATTAATCAATCAATTTAGAGACATATGAGTATGATGGGACTACTTGTAAATAAACAAACCATTTATAAGTATTTTAAAATGATTAAAATGAATTTTTTCAATCCTGTCTTTCCTTGTTATTTAAAATGTCTGAGATATAAGTTTATCAATTTATTGCGACGCCTGTGTTTATTTAGGTGGACTCAGAAAGATATATTTCTGCATTTGATTAACAACATCCACGTATTTGTCCTTTTCGTGTGTTTAGTTTACTCATGTAACACTTGATCTATTCCCGTGTGGTTACTAGTTACCACTGAAAACAGGAAGACGTCGTTTGTGGTGGTCATTGGACGAAATATGAAAATCAATTCAATAAAAAATGCAATAAGCATCTTCAAATGAATCCATTATCTGTCATCAGTAGTGTTCTGTTGAGCAACAGAGTTAGTGAGTGAATTGATTTTAACGCCTCTTTGAACATTATGTCAGTTATATCATGGTGAGTCAGCTTGATGTGGGAGGAAAGCACGAGGTTAATATAGCGACGCGCATGCACGTGTGTGTGTGTTTGTGTGTGTGTGTGCGTGCGTGCGTGCGTGCGTGCGTGCGTGCGTGCGTGTGGGTGTGTGTGTTTTCTTGTACTAGTCCGGACTTATGCCGATTTATAGTCCTAGCTCACTGAGATGCAATGCCACAGTGAGGAAATCACGAAATGAGACTGGAGCACAGATATCGTGCTGACAAACCAAGACAAGATATCAGGGCGAACCGGGATTAGGGATGTGGCCTGTATAAGGGACGTAACTATGGAAGAACTAGTAAATGTGTTGGTGTTGACTTGAGAAATATGGTTGAGTTTAAAAATGATTATTCCATATAACAGCGTAGTTTCTTTGTTCTATAATTCCAAGCTGTCTTCCTTCTTTCTAAGCAAATTTTACGCATACACATTCATGATGTAACCATAACGGCACTGTGTTTGTCTGGTCAGTATTAATTCAACGTCCGTGCATTAACAGCTGATATGTCGGTGTCGGTGTCATTCAGTGTGAAAGTGTTTATGAGTTGCGGTCAGGTGAAATGGGGTTCAACGTCGAGTTCAAGATTATTGCACGTGCATGCAACTCTCTCTCCCCTGCCCCCTCTCTCCATCTCTCTCTCTGTCTCACACAGTATACCGACTCCGAGCCAACCAGTCCTAATTGTAGCCTCTCAATGCAGAGCGCCAGGCAGGGCAACAAGTAGTACCATCTTTTGACGTCTTTTAGTATGACACATCCGGAGGTCGTATCCCTACCTCTCTCCGGGCGGACACTCTACCACTAGACCATGGAGGCGTTCGAAAGTGTTTCCGAACAGTGGACTGATCATTACGATTATGAATTGGTTTTGTCGCTTTCATTTACAGAGGGTTAATGCAGTGTTTACAAATGATGCCTAAACGCTATGTCTATTTCTACACACTACTTTGATCTGTAACAGACGTCGCTGCTTAAGGTGTAGCGTCTTCATTCATGCCGGATACCTACACAGGTATATTGTGTGGGGAGAAACTATGTGCTGAAGGAGTATAATGGACGTTTACCTTGATCACTGAATATATTTGTTCCTTGTCATTCTGGAAACAAATAATTAGCTTTGATTCTTTTGGTATCATGTGGGTATGTACATTATATACTTGTTGGCAGATTGTAACAGAAAATGGTATAACCTCTCTGGCCAATATACATATGGTCACGATAAAACTGATTTCGTGTAACAATGCATCTTCATTATATTGAACAGTTATGCATTTGTAATTTGCATCCGTTTACATAATGTCAAGGTAAGGCGTAATATTAGGTAGAAACCGTTGGCATGGTTACAGAACACAAAAATTGCCCGCCCACTGGGTGATAGTAATCTAAATTAGAAAGACATGTTTGTTAAATGATATTCAATATATTGAATGCCGATTCTTGGCCAGATTTAATTAACAAAACGGTATATATATTGGGGAATTTAATGGTTTTCAAGAAAAGTTCATTGTTCCCTTCCATTTAATGTATCTCTGTTATCAAAGAGTGAGCGTGGTTTTACGGCGTTTTTAGCAATATTCCAGCAATGTCACGGCTGGGGACAACAGAAATGGGCTAAACACAGTGTACCAATGTGGGGAATCGAACCCGGGAACCACTACATATATAAGATGACGAACCAAAGAAACACTGTGACTGGCCAATCACAAATGAAGTATTTATGCAATCGAAAGGTGACCATGAAAAAATATGTTTCAATGTCAGTTGGCACTTGATGATTTCTCAATTTTCCTGTGTGAATGTCGGAATGCTATACAAAGTGTGCATTATGTCAGAGTACTTCTCTGAGAATATTAACAGAATAGTTGGAAAACTACCCTCCCAGTTAATATCAGAAGTTCAAGGGTCTTATGCAAAACTTGGGGGAGAGGGAGACAGCTGTGAATTTTGACAGTCTACTTGACTTTGTGGAGAAAGAGACCAGAAAAGCGCATGCCCCCATGTTTGGACAAGAAGCTCTCAGAAAAGAGGAGAACACGGGAAAGTGCACTATCTGCGAACAAGACTAAGTTTACCTTTGCTGCTTATTGGTTAATACACTTGAAACAGAGGATCAGACAGAGTGGCAGGTTGGAGTTCTTACCTCTATTATACCAGATCATTGCGAACACCTTGTTTGTATTTGTGATCCCATGTGCATAATGACAAATGTCTTCTGACTTGGAGCAATATGTGAAGGTATAATTTCTACAGTTTTCTTGTTGTTAGAATTGACATTTTCTCTGCTAAGAACAACACAACAGCTTGTTTATTTTGTTTATTTCAACATAAAACGAATATATTTATAAAATGATTCATTGCAAATATAATTTGAATGATTCATGATTTACTGTACTGTGTACTGTGTATTTTATATATTATAGTATTTGAACATGGCGCACGGTACTTCACATATGATGTTGAATTGGGAGCATTGTATTTATTATTCCAATAATCATTCGTCACGATAAACTCTCACAACATGATACATCTGCCGACTGCCACAATAGATCTGAGAAACTGTGTCACAGTGTACGAGAATCGCGTGTAACGTGATCACATACATTCTCCCCGATGGCTTGAACATGTCACGTGATCATCAGTGTAGCTGAGGCAACAACCAGGAAGTGAAAAACAGTCTACTGCGGGTGCTCGTCGAAGTTGCGGTATCTGTGAAGATAACACGATAGATGTCTGTTAAAATGTAACTGGAATATGTTGCTTTCGGATTCAATGCACACAGACTCGTGTTAAAACCACTCATATATTTTAATACAGTGGACATCAAGGTAAATTGAAGTTCAATAACGAAAGTAGCTTGAAAATTCCTCGAGTTGAAATAAGTGTAACATGTTAACATATGTTGAATGTACTGTTAGGTCTCTTCAAAACGACGTAACCATATATCGTACGTCTTTGTTTCTAGAATCCAAGTGTGAACAGATGTATGCAGTGGTGGCAGTGTTTATACAAGCGTCGCAAATTTGTATATGAGTATTAGGGTCCCTTTATCAGTATACCATTGTTCTGGACACAGGACCAGTAGCTGAACATAGAATCAAATGGTATGTGTGTCTGTGTGTGTGTGTGTGTGTGTGTGTGTGTGTGTGTGTGTGTGTGTATCTGCGTATGAATAAGATTGTATATGTATGTATGTATGTATGTATGTATATGTATGTATGTATGTATGTATGTATGTATGTATGTATGTATGTATGTATATATGTATGTATGTGTGTGTGTGAATAAGATTGTATATGTGTGTATCTGTTTGTGTATGTATGTATGTATGTTCGTTTGTGTGTATGAGAGTATGTACGTGTGTGTGTATGTGTAATTATGCATGTATGTGTGTGTGTGTGTGTGTATGTATGTATGTATGTATGTATGTATGTATGTATGTATGTATGTATGTATGTATGTATGTATGTATGTATGTATGCGTGTGTGTGTTTGTGTGTGTGTGTGTGTTTTATTATGATCACTGCAAGAATAGATCATTGGAGATACTTAGCACCATGAAATATATTTTCATAAACTCGTACTGAAGACATAGCTAAGTCGGACTATTTCTTTTCATCAGAAATGGCCACCGCAAAGAAATTGACGGACAACCATCTGACCTGTGTCATCTGTACAGAAGTGTTCACAGACCCTGCCACACTTCAGTGTAATCACACTTTCTGTAAGTCCTGTTTGCTGAAATACACCAAAACACAGCCTAGAGCAATTCAAGCCAAGTCTATTCCATGTCCCTCCTTTAGACATCTGACGAAGGTGGCCAACCCTGACAGTCCAGTAGAGAAGTGGGTCAGTCAACTGAAACCAAGTCACGTGATACAGGGGCTGATGGACGATTTGGGGGAATCGTCAGGTAGGGAAATTTGAAACGTTTTCATGTCTTGCACACAAAGGTATTGGAAATGCAGTTTTTAAATTTATTAAAGTGAGAAGGATTGAGTTCGAAGTGAGCTGGTTTATATTGACATTTATACACCTAACACGTATGGCCCTTAAATATACAGTATGTATTAAAAGTTGTGGTATGTAAGTGTGTTTTCTAGAAATTGTATTTTTTGTAACATGCTGTGCTTTATGTTTAGATACATGTAGCGTGTGCAAAGAAGATGGGGAGACAACTCCAGGTAAAACGTGGTGCACCATTTGTGACGATGTCTTTTGTGATGGGTGTCTCCAGTTACACAAGAAGATGCCACGGTTACGTGAAGTGATTGACTTACGTATCCATAGTAACGAGAAACCAAAGGTACAGCGCTTTATGTGCAGAATGCACAAGGATGAGAAGATAAAACTGTTTTGTAAAGATTGCAGGATGGCAATTTGTACTGTATACTGCAGTATCAAACACAGGAAGTGTGATGATGTTGAAACCATAGATGCCATGAAGCCTCTTGTAACAGAAACATTGATCAATGAAACTAGAAACCAAGAGAAGAAGATTAAAACTTACAATGATAACATTTCATCAACAAACTCGGAAATTAAAAACCTATTGATAAACGCACAAGTGATGAAAGACCAAGTTCAGAAAGAACGTATGGTAGCTGTAGACGTTCTCCTGAGAAAAAAAAGAAACTGCTGAGATCGTATCGACCAACTCACTGAGACACGTGTACAAGAATTGAAAGCCCACAGAAAGTCCCAGGAGATTGACCTCCAGATGCATCAGCAGCGGCATGGGTTCATACACAAAGCCGTGACGTCACACTGTGTAGCAGACATGTATGATATATATGAGACTGTGGCTGTAGCATCCAGAGATAAGGACACAAGTGAGGACAAGAGACCAATACCATCCACTATCGTCTTCACACATGACACAGATAAACTGAGGAGATCTGTGGATGAGGTGCAGCTGGGGGAGGTCAATACTGTTGGAGGTCTAAGTGACCGGACGTCTTCTCCTGTTCTCATGCACGAAATTGACTGTAGATCTGGAGACATGTTTTATGATTTGCGTGATGTTGTTGTGTTGACAGTTCATGGTATCAAGGTAATTACTGTGATAGATTATTTACATTGTCAACTCAGCACATGTTACGTTCCAAACAAAACATCCTTCAATACATGTCTCCAGCTTCCTTCTCAGCCAATGCGAATAGCTAAGGTGGGTGGAGCTCGGGCAGCTGTTACTCTGCCAGACACACAACAAATAGCTTTCATCAACTTTGACCCAGAACCTACATTACACTCAACTGTTAGAACAAGGAGGAAATATGGTGGTTTAGCCTTCCTGAACCCTTCACAACTCCTGGCAGGTGGTTACGATGGTCGTGCCTCTGTTGACGTGCTGGATATGAAAGGGAATATACTTAAATCTATCTCGACAGGTGTGATAAGGAACCCACATGAAATACATGTTTCTGGAGAAAACAAGTTAGTAGTTAGTGAAGCAACAGTAAAATCAATTGTATCAGTGACCAGTGAAGGCAAAACTGTTTTCACCTACACTCCCACAGGAGACAGAGCTCTAACATGCCCGCAAGGTATCACAACAATCAGGACAGGAGACATCCTTCCTGTGGACAGAGACACGCACAGGTTGATTCAACTGACAAAGTCGGGGCAGTTTGTCAGAGATGTCCTCACACAAAAGGATGGCATGCATTATCCCCACAGTATCTGTCTGGATGATGACAGTGTGTTGTATGTAAATAACAGTCGCTACGTAAGAGTATACGGTTTTGAAAAACATTGAATTCATCAATATGAAAATTACTTTGATGAACAGTCTGTGTGTGGATCATGTGTACAAGACTGAAATAATGAGAACTGATCTCATAACCGCTACATGTGAAATGTAACGAGAATAGGGTCTTCATAACTATTCAGCTTAATTTTCCCATTAGCAACGATGGAAATGCACATATGTTATACACAGTTTCCTGAAATTACGATCATCAAGTTAGCACAAAGCGCTTAATAATCCATCATTGCATTTGTAAAATTAGTCTGTTGTGAATCATAGTTTATGTCTTTCGTCTGATCAGTCAACAATTATTTTCACAACAAAATGGTATTATCGATGACTTTAGCCTGGCTTTGTTGTGAACTATAGTGTGTGATTGTCAGCATATCTATTTGCACATGGAGTCAAGTATGTTTCTACAATTTCTACATTGTTGTGTAATGTACATGTAATAAAAATAGTAATGCGCGGCGCAAAGGGTCACAACATGAGATACAATTGTTATTCGTTATATTATATAGTCTTATCGTCCTTAGTCTGCAGGCAGACTAAAATGTAGTTTCGGCATAAAGTGTTATTTAACTCAAATGAAACATAGATTTCACTAGATATATAACAAATATATGAATTAATATGACAATATAATTGTCAGGCCATTTACTAGGCGACTGTATCTGTTGGGTACACAACCTTACATAACAACATCTCATCGAGTTTCTGTATGTTGTATACCCTATATCTTTTGTATGAATAGTGTATGTGTAACCTTTTCAGTTGGTACCACTGAATGCGAATCATATCTGATCACACATGGTTAAACAGTAATGTAACAAATGTGTGTACAAAATCATTTCACGTAGCTGGAGGACCCGTGCAGATCCGGGTAAGAATAAGTCTTCAGCAGCCCATGCTTGCCATAAAATTCGACTATGCTTGTCGTAACTGGCCACTAACGGGATCGGGTGGTCAGGCTCGCTGACTTGGTTGATTCATGTCATCAAATCCCAATTGCGTGTATCGATGCTCATGATGTCAATCACTGGATTGTCTGGTCCTGAATCGATTATTTAGAGACCGCCTCCGCTATAACGTACATGTAGTTGGCGTGGATGGTGTAAAGACACTTGGAAAAGTATTTCAGTTACATGTGTATCATGTATCTACTATCTAACTGAAACAAAAATGCGAAGAGGTGATGACACGTTGTTGCTGCATTATGTGATTTAGTGTCCCCTATGACATTACATTGTCCGGACATGGACATCAAACGGCACATTTTACTTTCTAAAACCGGCGTTTCGTCCAAGTCACTCAGTCACAGACAATTAAAAAAAGGTTACTTCTCTCAGGCATTAGACAATGTTTTTTATCCGTAATAAATGATGAACGTTTCATCCCCTTTCTTGTTCATTAACTGAGCTTATGGTATAAAGCTTTGATATCGAAGATTCATTCTGATGTTATTTGAAACGAAACAAATATTCTACATCCATTCACTGGACCAGTTTGATATTCGCAATATCAAATACAGAAATGGCAAGTGCTACTTGTTATACAACTACAAAGATAATTTCGATTTGAGTTGCAAAAACTGAGAAATCAATAAAGTGCTGATTGCATGTAACAATATATACAATGTCATACATAGAATCGTACCAAACTCGGACACACATTTGCATGCTATTGAGCTTTTTCCTTCTCTCATACTAACGAATAATCTCATTGCATTTATAGCATAAACCATTCCATTATGAGTCGTCAATAGCAAGAGTCGCATTGAATGAATGGTAGATATATACAAGAACATTGCAGTGTGACGTCATGTGTTGTGACGATGACTTAAGAGTACCCTGGAGCCTTCTGGTTAGCCACACACAGTGATACCATAAACTACGCAATCATGCATGTGTACATGTAGCTGCAATGATGGTAATCCAAATGCTGGACATCTTGATGTTGCTAACACACTGGATCAGTCAGTGATGGTTTTGTCGTTCAGTTTCTGTATTTTGTAAACAATTTGTCGGATGCCTCTGGTGGAGCAGGATTTGCTGTACTTTTCGCGGACACCTAGGATCATCACTATTTGATGGAGATTCATAAACGTATGGTTATGGTATAGTGGATATGATACCAGCTGTCTGTCACGATAATGACAGACAGGGCCGACAGACCAAGGACAGACCGACCACGTGTCACTACACCAAATGACCTAGCCCTGTTAGCCTATGTTTCATTTGAGGAATCAACGTTTGGCTGTGACGTCATCAGCATGAACTGCCCGACGACATATCAGCTGTTTCACGGTATCCAGGCGTCCGCGTCACTGTGGCTTATCGACTTTAATGGTGGTCATTGTTGACACGTAATAATCGACGTCAAAGACGTGTGTGCGCTCTGCACAACGATGACAGAGCAGGAAGTAATTTTGTGTCTGGGCAGAGCTGGTTCCAGATTTTCAGAGCAGAATGGTAGAGCACATCTGTATCTTCATCGGGAAGAATTCATGGCTCAGTGTAGTGGCAGCGGCAAGATTTTTAGCTTGGATTTGTGTGAAAAAGTCTCAATTTGCTGTGTTCAATGCTAATCTCACAGCACAACATTACATGAAGCGTGAGACATTGGGTCCCTTCCTACAACTAATATAAACACACGGATATTGTTCAACATGGCAGCACAAGATCACAAACACCACCATCTGCTATTCAATAACGTCAATTCAACGTTTTGCCTTGGTCAGCTCGCGTCCTTGACGTGTCGCCACTTGAACACCGCTGGGACTACCTTGACCATTAGATTAGAACACGACCTATCCTCCTGCAAACTGACGAAGCTTAACACGGATGAAGTACTGGTAACCGACGTCTGAAGAGCTCTGCATGACGTCGTGTGCGGACGTGTCTTGAAGCCAACGGAGACACACGATATTGATAAATACAGATAACGAATTACTGTTAGGTGAGTAACTACAATTATATCTCATATGATTGTCATTGTTATACGACTGTCACTAATGAGGAGGCATTATCTAGTCCTTCTGCTTGCTATTTTAATATATAGGTCATATAGTAGAACGTAAGTAAAAGGTAGTTAGAATCATGTATATTCCACACCAACTGAATAAATAGGTACAAAAGCCAGGATTCACAGTAGGTTTGTAGCCATTTTTGTTTAATTTGTTTGTTGTTTAACGCCGCACGCAAAATTCCAGCTATATATGACGTCGGTCTGTACATAATCGAACCCGGACCAGAAAATCCAGTGATTAACATCATGAGCATCACTCTACGCAGTTCGGATACGATGATATGCATCAAACAAGTCAGCGAGCCTGACGTCGTCGCCTTTAACAGCAAGCACGGCTTGCTGAAGACATATTCTCTACCCGGGTGGATTGCAGACAGTACTCCTACTATCTCACTCAGAGCAGGACAGTAGACTTATCACTTTAGGGTGGCTTTAAAACATGTATGATATTTGATGTAAGTTTTATCATGGGCTTAAAATTCGCCTTTCGCCTTTCTGGACATTAATTATTTTCATTTTGCTGCATTAACATGAACGTAACATGTATCCCAGTATATGTATAGTTATTATTAATCACATCCATTGTGTTAAACAAAGACCAGCAACACATATACTTGAATCTCAATTACCTGCATTGTCAGCTAGCACAGGGTCATCAGCGTCAAGTAAATATCCTCTACTTGAGCAAAAGGAGTATTCTGAAAATTCCATCTAAAAAAATATTTTCAGCAAAATGTCATGTAAGTCAATTCCATTATCGAATCCCTTCACTGTTATGGAACTTAGTTTGAACATAAAGGTGTGATCGAGTTTCACAAAGCAACTATAACAAAGTCTGTAGAAATTCGAATCTGAACCAAGCAAACGTGGGGTTAATATCATGAGCTACGATATACGTAGTCGGTGAAACGTTGCACAAAATTATCAACAACCAATCACCATTTAATCAGTTACGAGTACACCTGGGACCTATTTTACGTTGGAATTTCCACGGGTGTGTCAGACATGATTATCACTAACACGGGTCTCCCCGTAAACCCCCATGTATGTATCAATTTTAGTTCACGGCTATTGTTGCAGTGCTTGTGTGATTACTTTTCAAAATAACTTTATGAAACGTCAACCTAACTAAGGCATAAAAAAGTCATTCAAATGATCCTCTGTCTCTGTCGATGTTGATATCCACATGACAGTTGACAGTAGACAGGCGGCATTATAATCAGGCGTTGTAATAAGAACGGCAAAATTGTATCCATTGTACGATAAGTATGTGTTTATTAATCACTATTAAATAGTGCTGATACCAGGTGTTTGTGAAAAGGTGAGCGTATCCTGCCCCACCGGTGTCACCCGTCACAAACACATACGAAGACATGTCAATTATTCACCTGATAACATATGTCAAAATCGGGAATTGCATCAGGCATTTTTTTGTCACTGAAATAGCATCCACATGTCGATAGTGAAACATTTTGAAACTTTACTAAGGCCTTGAATGTTGCGTCATTCGATCAGTGACAGTTCAACAACATGCCAATATTAACAAGAAGTGCAAAAAACAACGTCATCGGCCGCTTTCAGGCAGGGGAATCCCGATCAACGACTGCAGTGGAGTCGTCAACACAGGGTATGTCCTCACCTGCGATGGGGAGATGTCTGGTTCAGGGACGAATCAAGATTTCTCCTCCATCGAAGGTATGGAAGAGCACTGGTCTACAGACGTCGGGGAGAACGTTACACTGGAAATTGCGTACAGGAATTGGACAGGTTTTGTGGGGTTAGCGTTATGATGTGGGCGGATATCTCTCATCATCGCCGGACAGGTTTGATCCATATTACGGTTCAACGATACATCAACGAATTTCTCCTACCACACGTCTTCCCAAAGGCAACGGTGTATTCCAGAAGGACAACGCTCGATCGCATACAGCACGGACTACAAGAGCTTGTCTACACATCAAGAACCTTGATGTTCTCCCTTGGACACCCAGATCCCCGGATTTGAACCCGACAGAGCACCTGTGGGATAAATTGGATAGACGGCTACGCCGACGTCAGCCACAACCCCTAGACGTTGCAGCAGTTGGCTTTTGCGTTGCAGGCCGAGTGGGCTACCATTCCAAAGGACGTGATTCGCATACTCGTCTCTTCCATGGGCAGGAGATGTCAGGCCGCTATCGATTCCAACGGGGAACATACGCTTTATTGATGGGAGCTGACCTTCACCTTTCACTTTTCCTATGTACCGATAACTGTGATGACTACATTCACCAAGTGTTCCACGGTTCCTCGTATAAATGTATTTTCCTACCTAACACAAATCTGCCAAGCGACAGACAAGTACCATATTTTGACATGTTTTAGTATGACGCGGCCGTGGATCGAACCCCCGACCATCCGCTCTCAGAGCGGACGCTCTACCACTAGACTGCTAGACTACGGAGACGGTCCCATACATTTTGTCAATGATTCACATGCTTATGTAAAGGGTTTCAAATATATGAAAAAGACCAACTTAACCTCGATGCACA